AAAGCCAGGTACAGCAGGAAAGTCTGAGACTCTTGTCTCTAATTAACTACCAAAAAGTGGGAAGTAGAACTGTGGCCCACATGTTAGTGTGCTAGCCTTGAGCAAGAAAACATAGTGCCCAGACTGAATTCAAACCACAGGACTGGCATGCACACACACGTGTGATCTCACACACACAAGCGCTTAAAAGGAATAAAAACTCTCCACTAAAAGTTGTTCAAAAGCCAGTAATATTGTTGTCTAATATTTGATGTGAACTATATACCTCTATATCAATACAAGATTATTTTATTCTTTAAATCCCTTTCCTGGTTCTTTATATTTTAACCTTTGATCGTTGTTTTCTTCACACTTCAAGAGAATTTTGTCTTTAACAATTCAGAGACCTTTGTAATATGCAGATTGTAAAGTGTGAAAACAGCAGTAGTTCATGGAGGAAACCTAGAGCAATCCTCCTTGAGAACTTGATTCTACATTGACTCTGAGGAAATTCTGTTTAGAGATAGAAGTTACTTTTTTTAAATCATTATCTTTTTAGTTCTGTTTTGAACATTTTTGGAGTGCTAGGTACAAACCCAGGGACTTGTATGTATTGGGCAAGTATTATACCACTGAGTTCCATTCTCAAACTTCAATTTGTGTGTGTGTGTGTGTGTGTGTGTGTGTGTCTTGAGGCTTGAACTAAGGGCCTGGGCACTGTCTCTGAGCTAGTACTCTACCACTTGAGCCATAGCTCCATTTCTGGCTTTTTGGTGGTTATTGAGATAACAGTCTCATGGATTTTCCTGCCTAAGCTGGTTTGGAACTGTGATCCTCAGATTTCAGCCTTCTCAATAGCTAGGATTACTGTCACCTTTTCAGCTTTTCAGTTATTTTTATCAATAGAAATAATGGACATTCCTCCTAGCCATTTCAGAGTTGATGTGTAGCTATGTCTACTGTGATCGATTTTTTTTTTCCAAATTTGCCTTATTTTCAACCTGATTCTGCTCTAAATTGATGTAAATGATTTCTCCTTCTTTGATTTCTTCCCCTTGATTCTGGTTGGCTTGTCCACTCACAAAAACTGCCAGTTCTGTATAGAGGCCTAATCCCTTGCCTTGTATTACTCATGTGGATAGATAGATACTGATTTGAACCATAGCAAATGCTATTTTTATAGGATCAAAAATTTTCAAATATGATGATAAATATAACATGAGAACATTAATAGTATTGTTTGTAAAAGCAGAAACAAATGACCTAAATGAGCCCCAACTATAATAGAAAAATTAGTTACAGGATGGTTCTACAGTGGAATTCTATAGAACAGGAAGAAAATAATCTTTTTCCCACATGTGTCAGCACTGATAAACTTCAAGGGCAAGCAAGTCAAAGAACACATTCCATGATTATATTTTTATGAGTTGCAAAAATAAGGTATTATTGAAAGTTGTAATCATAGAGAGGAAATTGATTTTTAAGGCAAAGGATTTTTTTCCCAATAGGTTTTGAAATTTCATTCCCATTTTAAATGTTATTTTATTTTTAAAACAGTATTCATCAAGAATGCAAGGAGAGCCTGTGTGCTGGTGTCTCATGCCATAATTCTAGCTACTCAGGAGGCTGAGATCTGAAGATTGAGGTTCGAAGCCAGCCCAGATAAATTCCCAAGACTTGTATCTCTAACCAGAAAAAAATATCTGGAAGTAGAGGTGTGGCTCAAGTGATAGAGCACCAGCCTTGAGCAAAAACAGAAGACCCTGAGTTCAAGCCCTAGTACCAGCAACAAAAGGAGAAAGAGGAGAAGGAAGAGGAGGAGGAGGAGGAGGAGGAGGAGGAGGAGGAGGTGGAGGAGGAGGAGGTGGAGGTGGGAGGTGGTAGTGGTGGTTTTATTGTGATAATGCATTTCAGTGTGCTTACACAAAGGGTTATTAAAGAGAAAATCAGAATACTTGTTACCTCCAATGGGTAATATTTCTTGTATTGGATGGCTGATACATTGGTGTATATTTATTTTTCTTTATAACTGGCATATTTTCTACCTATTCATCACTCAGTATTAGGAAAAATAACATCAAAGGAGTTATACAAGCTCTGTAATGGCAAAATATGATTTGGCATAGTTACTTTAGAAGGATATTGACAGTGTCTATCAAAATAAATAAATAAGGAAATAATAGACCCTTTCTTTCTATGTTGAATAAAGTCTAGATGGAAGGTCCTGCATAATGTCTCTGCTCACTTGTATCTTGAGAAACCAGCTCTGATTCAAGATAGCTTTGATTCCTCTCAGCCACTCTGAAGTCTCTGCCCACACACTCTGCTCAGTGTTGCTCCCTTGTGCCTCTGTGTACTCCACACCCACTAACCCAACAGTCCAGTCCCTCCCTCCCTCCTTCCGTCATATCTGCTGTCAGCTTGTTCCCTAACATGCACCCAAATCATAAAGTAATTTAGGTTCTAAGGTCGGTAACCAGACAATTTTTATTAGTTTTTTTTCTGCCACAAAACTCTCAGTACTCTACTACTACACAATGAGAACTTGGAAAATGCTACAAAGATTATTTGCTCTCCCTTATCACCCTCTTCCCCACCCCACCCCCTAAAATGCAGGAAACTTTTTGCTATGTCAACAGCTTAGAAGGAATATTGTTCCACTGGAATGAGGGCCACCCACTCCTGATTTCAGAGATGAAGTTTTGGAATGGTTATGTTAACTACATACTAAGTGACATGAATGCACCCAAGTCACTGGAAAGTCCAGTCAGAAGTTTCCTCTGGAATGAAAATAATCAGAATTCTTACCAAAATGTACATATTCACTTCCTATTTCCTGTGGTTTTTTCGGTTTTGTTTTTGTTCTTGGTCTTGTTTCTTCAAGTTTTGGACCTTCTTGTTGTTCTTGTTGTTGTTCCTTTGGCTGGGCTTAGTTTTTTTGAGACATAGCCTCAAGCTGTCGAGACCAAGGATGGCCTTCAATTTGCTGTCCTCTGGCATTCATCTCCCAAGTGCTAGGATTGTAGGTATGCACTCTCAGCCACATCCAGCTTATTTCTGGGGTTCAGATGAGATATTACCAAGGGCTCTCATGCATGAAAACATACAGGTGTTCTTACTAAAACAATCTACCTGAATATTCCTTAATGTTATAAAATATTGTTCAAGTAGTATCATTCTCCTTGGAATGTTTAGAAGTTTTGACCCAGAATTTATGCTGTATGTCTGAAATAATGTTGGTTCACTTACAAATTATAAATGAAACAATAGTCATCAAAACTTTGAATTTAATTATTTTTACTATATTCTAGACCTAAACTTGATTGCTCCTAATCTTGTATGTGGTAAAGTTCAGATGACTTCACAATGCTTTATGGAAATTCATAGAGTCACTGTTTTTGCTAAGACCTTATTTGGTCAAACTATTTTTTATTAGGTTCACATGCTTTCTCCAAATATTTGTTTTGTAAAATTAGTGTTTCATTGAATTGAATTGAATTCCAAATTGGTATTAGCAACTTTCCCTTGCTTTTTTTGTTTAGAATAATTCATATCAAGATAATTTAATTTTGTAGAAGGAAAACAAAAGAGTAGAATTTTTAGTCACAACGTCACCTTGTTTGAGCTGGTCAAGTGGCAAGCAGATTATAAAAAAAAAACATGTATTATCTAGTATAAAATGTTTTCATGTGTACTTTAGCATTTAGCCATGGAAGCCCAAATACTGGGATTCCAACTCACTACTTCAGTGATTTTACATGCTTATTTGAATCATAATGATGATTAATTCCATTTTCTATTAAATTATATTTCATTTTGGAAAAATTTGATTAATGGACTTGAAAAATCATTTTTTGTTGGGAAAAATGACATGGAAAATTAAACCCACTTTAAACATGTCCTCTGAAATGTACTATATAATCTACACCTAACCCAGTAAGTTAGCTTATTTTCTGTAGTGTGGTCATTTGTAGGCCAATGAGGTTATTGTGACCTTTTCTACACTGACACATCACATACTCTGCTTTCTGAGCCTCAGGCTGATAATGTGAGGGAATGAAGTGGATGTGAGGAACTGTGATGAACTACACAAACCTTGTCTACACAATTACAGCTGATGCCAATGGCTCACACCTGTAATCCTAGCTACTCACAAGGCTGCTATCTGAGGATCATGGTTCCAAGCCAGGGCAAGAAAGCTCATAAGACTCTTATTACCAATTAACTACCAAAAAAAAAAAAAAAGATGAAAGGGCGTTGTGGTAGACACTAGCCTTGAGCAAAAAAGCACAGTACAGCACCCAGGACTGAGCTTAAGCCACAGGACATGCATAAGAAAGAAATAAGAGAGAGGCATGGGGGGTAGGAGGAGAGAGAGACAGAGAGAGAGAGGGGAAGGGAGGAAGGAAAGAAGGGAGAAAGGGAGGAAGAAAGGGAAGAAGGGAGGGCAGGAGGGAGGGAGGGAAGGAAGAAAGGAAGACTACCCTAAGTTCTGGCAGGTTGCTATTCTGTGAAGACACAGGGTTTGCCAGATCTTCTCAATTATAAGACAATCCCAGACTTTCGTGTGAATTCTCTCATTGACACATGATTTTAACTCCAGTGGCTCATGCCTGTAACCCTAGCTACTCAGGAGGTTGAGATCTGAGGATCTCAATTTGAAGCCAGTCAAGGCAGAAAAGACTCATCTCCAATTAACTAGTAGAAAGCCAGAAGTGGAGGTGTGGCTCAAGTGGTAGAGGGCTGAGTGAAATAGCCAAGTGAGAGTACAAAGCCCTGAGTGCAACCCCAGTACTGTTAGATACACACGTGTGCTGCACACACACACACACACACAGAAAAATCAAAATGTAAAAAGTAAAAGTAAACAAAAACTAAAGAATTAAAATCAGTTTTAAGGACATGTATAAGCCACACTGAAAAGGTCTGTAGGCCTATTGACCTCTCTGCTTACAGTGAAAATGAGGCCAGGATTGACAAAGCCTCTTGTATTCTTGACATTTCCTTTTTCCTTTTTCTAGGCTATGTGCTGTCTCTGCTTTGTCCGAACTCCTCCCAAGCTTGGTGCGAGATCACAAATGTGTCACAGCTGCTGGCTTCTCCTGTCCTCTACACAAACCTGAATTCCAGCATAACCAACTTGAACATTTCAGCCAATGGAGAAAGCAGATACAGCCTCTTTGTGGGCTTGATACTGGCTATAAGCTCCAGTATTTTCATTGGCTCCAGCTTCATATTGAAAAAGAAGGGCCTTTTGCAACTCGCCAACAAGGGTGTTACTAGAGCGGGTAAGAAACACACGAAATGAACTTATTCAAGTTCCTGGCTGCAAAATGAGCTTCCTGTGAGACCATCACCATGTTCTAGTCATGAACAGTATCTCTCCATCTTCACCATTACGTCCTTGACTAAGCCAGCTGTGTCTCCTATAGTCTCTGACCTGGCATGAAATGGCTCCGGTACCTCTCTAGCTTCCTCTTGTGCTACCATCCCAGTCACCTACTTTTCTCTTAAGTTCTTTCCTACCTTGAGGTCTTTTCTCTTTGCTGGAACTCTTTTCCCTGCCTTTCATTCAGCTGAGACAGCCTTCTGATTTATACTTAAATTTTACCAACCTAGAAAGGCTTTCCGTAACCATCCTGTCTGGGCAGTTCTCTTACTTCCTGTATCTCTCTGCTACTCTCTATCATCACACTATTGAGTTCCTACCTTATTTATAGAATAATCTGTATTGTATGTGTATGGTTTTTCTCTTGTTGAGCAGGTTGACTTGTTTATTGATAGTGGGTATACAAGAACAGCACACAGCAGTAGCAGCAGCATGGGGCACAAGATAAATATTTGTTGAATCAATGACTAGAGGGTAATAGAATTGCACCATGATTTATAGTAACATTCAAGATGCTAAGTAAGCCCTGTTTAACTATCTTTCATTAGCCACGAATTCTCTATTCATTTTCATCATATGAAGTACATATATTTTTCTTAGATCCATATGTAAAGAAAAATGACTAAAAATTATACAAACAAGCTTCTGGAAAATACTATTGAGAGATTTGCACCACCCTAGAATATACCATATCACTTTATCCATTCAAACAATTTAGTACTTGCACTAAAAGTAGATAAAGTAATAAGAGATTATTAAAAACTTACAAGTGGACCCCAAAAACATGTAGAATTATATATGAGCTTTTAAATATATAATCCATCATATGCAATTTTCAATTAAAAGTACTAAGACAATTGGAAAAAATAGATTTTATACCATTTAGCAAAATAAAGTACAGAAATTTGCGGGTTATACTTTAAACGAAATAAGCTTTTCAAAAACCTGACAGAACACCTTTCTAAGCATAAAGTTAAAGAAAAAATCTTTTTGGAGATACATATTCCTCTGTGAAAATGCCTTGGTGTAAACTAAATGTAAAATGGTATATTGAGGGACAATTAGGAAATACGTAATCAAAGTTAGTCATAATATATAAAGTGCAGCAAACTTAAAAAATTATCATGCAAACAGAAAACTGTCAAAGTAGATAAACAAGAGACATGATTCCAGGTTCATGCCTATAATCCTAGCTACTCAGGAGGCTGAGACTGGAGGATTGCAGTTCGAAGCCAGCTTAGGCTTCCATCTCCAATGAACCAGCAAGATGCCAGACTGAAGGCACAATACAAGTAGCAGACCACCAAGAGTGAATAAGAAAGCCAAGTGAATATGAGTTCAAAGCCTAATACTAGTATTAAAAAAAGAAGAAATGCACTAACGCATAACTGCAAATGATAATGAAAGAACAAAAATGTGGATAGCCAGTAAACAAACAGAAGTAAATATTATTTCACTTATACCCCCCAAAACTATTACCTATACAATAATATTGTATTCCAATATTGCATTGTGACTCCAATTTAGTCATTTGCAAATTTTGCAAAACAAATTTTAAATAAACATAGCTACCTACTTTGTAAAATAAGCTTTATAACTTATATAAACAAGATGGTTTAGGTTAAAGAATCTAGAACAAGTTTGGACATTTTACTATATTAAAAATAAAAGAAACTTCCATCTTCTACACCTGAGAACAACTCTTTTCTATCAAAGTGTGCAGCTTAAAAATTCTTGCTTTGGAGCTGGGTGGTGGCGGCTTACACCTATAATCCTAGCTACTCAGGAGGCTGAGATCTGAGGATCCAGTTCAAAGCCAGCCCAGGCAGGAAAGTCTGTGAGAGTCTTATCTCCGATAAACCACCAGAAAACCAGAAGTGGCGCTGTGGCTCAAGTGGTAGAGGGCTCGCCTTGAGCTGAAGAGCTCTGGGACAGTGCCCAGGCCCAGAGTTCAGGCCCAGACTGACAAAGAAAAAAAAAAAACCTGCTTTGGCCTGGTGGCTTGGCTCTTGTCAGGGAAAAAGGAACAGCTTTGGAATAAGAAAGGATTTTTGAAATGTAAGGTTTTGTCTTAAATGGGTTTCTTTTCAAGATGGAATTATGACATAGCCCAGACTGTTCAAAAAATAGCAGAGGATATGGGTATATTTTGAGATTACTTGTACCCTATTCAAATGAGCCAATCACAAGAAGATTATAACCTGAGCTCAACCAATCTGAGCAGAGAGGCAGGGCCTCTGCATTAGGGATTAATAGGGGAGCAGCCTGCCTGATCTATGTGCTTGCTTGCCAGAGTTTTGGCTGATGGCATACCATATTCTCCAAAAGTAAATTTTGCCTTGCTGAGACAATTCTTTATTTTTGTATCTATCATTGTGACTCCTATGGTTCTTGGAGAACTTACTCATAACATACAGCACACATAACACAAGGATTTCAGGTCACAGATTGAGATGGTAGGAGAAGTGACCGAATGACTAGAAAAGCTTTCATTCTTTTTGGTAGACAGCACATTTCACTTGACTAATCCAAACTCTCAGAAAAAGTCTTGGTTCAACTGGCATCTTCCCTTAGAAGTCTGCTAAGTGCTAGTGTATTTTCTAAGTTATGGTTTTCTGTTTTTAATTTGAACCATGACTAAAATGAAATGTTGAGTTGATAATATTCAATGTCCACACATCTGACTGATTTGAATGCAATGAACCTGATGACTAACAAATGAAGAAGAAGGAGGAAGAGGAAGAAAGAAGAAACCTAATAGGATGCCTTAAAAGATCTCTGAAAATGACCAAGTAAATAAATTCAAAGACTACGATTTACCAACTTGATCTTACACTTGATCTCTGCCTTTTCAAACCATGATTTAATGCCTCTCCTACATGTCAATTCTTTTTCCCTTCTGTGATTTAGAATTTAATTTTTTTTGGTGTTTTTCCAGGACAAGGTGGACATTCTTACCTCAAGGAATGGCTTTGGTGGGCCGGACTACTGTCCAGTAAGTTTACTACTAGAATCATGCTCATTTATAAAGTGTTAAGTGTATTACATAGATTACATAGCAAAAGAAAAATCAAAGCTTGACTTGAAACTAGTGAACATGATAGGAAAGTATATTAGGAAAACCTGGTATGAGAATAACAATGATTTTTTACCCTGGCACAAGTTTTTAGTGAAGTGTGAAGGACTTGGAACAAAAGTCCCTTCTGAAACCCAATCTACAAGCAGTCCCTATCCGAAGGTGACAGGGAGATTTACTAGCTTGAGTGGATTAGTTAATGATCTGTTTTAGAACTATCTTGTTGATCCACCTTAGGCTGGAATGAAGCCTATTTTTAATCGTTAGGTAGAATACTGAAAAAAAAATCCTGTGGCATTTCATGGCTTTGGGGGGCCACATAGACAGGTAGGGTGTTTAATTACAATGTTTTCCATGAGAAAAAAATGTATCTTCTTCCATTTTCAGTTTCCTCTACATTTCTTCTTAGTTCATGGTAGCTGCTTTCTATCACCTCACCTGTAATACTTGCATCCATAGTTTATTTGTGTGTGGGTACTCCATACACTGCTGTTTTTTCAATATTGTTATGCAGTTCAAAGGGAAAAGTTGATATTTGCAACATTGTATTTTATCACTAACTTATTCTGTATTCCATTGCAAAAGTATTGAAGGAAAAAAATGAGATTATTGGCAACTGTGAATATAGAACAATTAACCCTTTTGAAATGGTTTGGGGGAGGGTGATAGGAGAGAGATTGATTTGAGTATATTGTAAATGTGTAATGTAACCATGAGACCATGAAATAATTTTCTTAAAAACTGAGGGAAGCTGGGCATTGGTGGCTCTAAACCTGTAATCTAACTACTCAGGAGGCTGAGGATCACGGTTCAAAGCCAGCCTGGGCAGGAAAGTCTTATCTCCAAGTAACCACCAGAAAACTGGATGTGGTGCTATGGCTCCAAGTAGTAGAGTGCTAGCCTTGAGTGGAAAAAAACTCAGGGACAGTGTTCAAACCCCACAGGCAACAAAAAATATAAATTAAAAACTGAGAGAAATATTTTCCTTCTGTATCTTCACAGCTCATACTTTGAGTCTGTGACTATCCTAGACACATGATTCCTTAGGGATGGGTATATTTGCCATATCAGGACCAAACATGGCTAAATGAAAAGATTTTCTGGCTGTGGACTGTAGAAAAAATGAGGAGAAGATGAAGGCTGGCCCTGCTCTCCCTCTCCAAAGGCTCACTTTGCAAAACCTCTCTTAAAGTGCTCCTAAGAGCTATTGACGCCCTTCCTAAATGTTCCTGTGATGTCCACAGGAAAGGCAGTTTATCTGCTTCCTTCCCTCCTCTAAGCCTTCTTAAATCCCAAGCATGACACCCTCAAAGATAGGGCGTCACACATTGTAAGTTTTTACCACAGATCACTTCCTTCTGTAGTCCAGGTCTTAAAACCTCCCTGTGTTTTCCAAAAGGGAGTCATGTTTTTCAGTATTTGCAAGATCCTGTGGAAGGAAGAAACTAACCTTTTCCTGATAAGTAAAAGGTGGGATTTAAATGAACAATGAGTAAAAATAATTTAAATCTGTGTAGGCCTTTCAGGTTGGCTTTATTTGATTTTATTGTTTTGGTTTTGGTGTGTGTGTGTGTGTGTGTGTGTGTGTGTGTACACACGTGTACGTGTACATGAGCCAATCCTGGGGCCTTAGATCTCAGCTTTCAGAGTAGCTACAATTATAGGTGTGAATGGCTGGCCACTACTTTTCAGTTTTTAATGGACTATTCCCATTATAAAGTTGAAAGGACTCTCCTTAAGGTTCCAGAAAGACATCCGAGTGATGTCTTGCACCATCAGAATGAAAATATAAGGAGAATATTTTATGCCTAATCTTTTTCTTGAAATCAGATCCTGTGCTCTCACTTAGCTTTTTTGCCCACTGGAGCCATAGCTCCATGTTCAGCTTTTGGATGATTAATCGGAACTAAGTGTCTCTCCAACACATCTTTTTGGGCTGACCTCTAGGCTAGGATACTCAGACCTCAGCTTCCCGAATAGATAAGATTACAGGTATGAACCCACTGGTGCCCAGTTGGCATTTTATTCTTGGCATGTGAAAAAGCTCATACCAGTCTTGGAGAAAAGCGAACTCTAGCCGTTTCATCTGGTGCCAAACATATGGCACTTTAGTCATGAAGTTAGTGTTTTCTTGAAGCTCTGGCTACAAAGATTAAACAATACAAACAACATAAGTTATTCAAAGGAAGCTTAATATTGTGAGTGAACTTCCATGGTTCTTTTTATGAGAGCAGTCTCCTAATTGTTCTGTACATTTAGATTTTTTTATGATATTATACTAATGCAAAATATTCCTGTAGATAGAAGAGGAAGGGTAGCAAATAGCCACAGAAAAGAAAAAAGAGAAAGCATGTTAATGTTCTTTTATCTCTCCACAATAAAGATTTGCTGGGCATAATGGGGTAGCATAAAATACTGCATTCTTCGGGCCAGTGCCCTGTTGGGATCTGAGAGAATAATTTGGTTCCTGTTCAAGATCCCAGCTCATGGAGAGTTATTTTTTTCCCTCCCTCTAGAGATTATTTGTATCATACCCTGGAACTCTAGAGTTCCACAGATAAGAACTTGATCTTGGAACTTGATCTTCTTCATTGCTGAGATTCTGTTACCTGCTTGTAGATTACCTGTAGTTCAGAGATGCTTGATTACTTGGACCTGAATTTCTGACTATTCTTCCACCTCGAGATCTCTTCCAAGTCTTCTAATTTTCCACATTGCTCTGTTGTGGTGGTTATTGGTGGTGGTGGTAATAGTTGTGTTAATTTGTACTCCAAAGCTAGCTCTGCTAGATCTCATCAGATATGTTTTCAGTGTGAAAGTAATTAAAATCTTCATTGAAAGTCATTTAAAATGTGTATTGCTCAGTCACCATTAGTTGGGTTTATACCACCAGATACTTACATCTTATCTTCATCCTTTAATACCAATCTTTTCCCATCTTCCATAAGAAAAAAACTAGTTAAATCATTCCTTTTAGCTATTTATTTGTGTCTTCAAGATAAAAATCCATTGTTTTGCAAGAGTCATTTGTTTTTCTCTTTTGGGAAATAAATCCATCCTCTACATGAATGTTTCTGCTTGCTTTGTAGTGGGAGCAGGAGAGACTGCAAACTTTGCAGCTTATGCATTTGCCCCTGCCACCTTGGTCACCCCTCTGGGGGCCCTGAGTGTTCTCATAAGGTAGGTAAACAACAGGAGCTTGGCTTCTGCGGGTATTTTAATACTGTAGTACACTTCAGCCATAGAAATGTACACTAAATATATCTCATAACAAAAATCTTCTCCTATGCGGCTCTCAATGCACACAAGACCCAAAATAATATCTGGGATCCCTGAAAATCTTTGGATAGGTTTCTGGACAGGTTGCTGAAACCTAGCTTCTTGATTAATAAAATGAGGTTAAAAAGTTTATTTCTTAGGCTGAGAGTATGTCCATGACAGACCTATCATGTGCAAAACCCTGGGTTTGATATGACACCACCAAGAAAAGAAAAAAGAGAAGGGAAGGGAAGGGAGGAAGGAAGGAGGGAGGGAAGGAAGGGAAGTGGGAAGGAGGGAAAGGAGGAATGGGCACTAGTGGATCATACTTGCAATCCCAGCTACTCAAGAATCTGCAAAGCGAAAGTCCATGAGACTCTTACCTCAAATTAATTAGCAAAAGCCAGAAGTAGAGATGTGGCTCATGTGGTAGAGCATCAGCCAGCCTTCAGCAACAAGCTAAGGCATAGCATCCAGGCTGAGTTTAAGCCCCAGTAATAGGAAAGGAAAGGAGAGGAGAGGAGAGGGGAGGGGAAGAGGGAGGGAGGGAGGGAGGGAAAAAGAAAGAGAAAAAGAGAGAAGGGGAAGAAGGAAGGAAGGAGGGAGGGAAGGAAAGACGGAGGGAGGAAGGGAAGGAAGGAAGGAAAGAAGGGAAGGAAGGAAAGAAGGGAAGGAAAGAAAAAAGAGATCGGTCATAAAAGTTAATTGAGAAGACTGCAAAAGTAATAATAGAAATCGGAAATCAATTATCAAATTATTATTTAGAAAAAACTGGCAGAATGAATCTGGGCTTCCTGATAACAAAGTAGTTGTATGTTACCTTTGTGATAAGTCAGTGAAGCCTAGAAGACTTTTGCTTCCGTTTATGTTTTTTACACCTGTCAAAGTCCTTTTAATTATTTCTGTTGTTAGAGTTGTTAATGACTGTAGTTATCAGAAGATTTCAAAAAGCACAGTGCTTGTCTTAAATTTCAACTCTCATTACCATTCTCACATTGTCTGCAAGACTCTTGTGTTTGGAGACCCTATCATTTCTTTTATCTTCAAAATAGGAACAATTTTCTTGTTGTATAGGCTGTGGATATGTTTGTCTATAATATGATCGCTATGAATGTGTTTGGTAACTGTTGAGCTTAGCTACCATTTTGCTGTCCTTTCTGCCTCCATGCATTAATCAGTATTTAGGAGAGAGTTTAGGATTGTGCCTACCCACTCTCCTTGCCTTCTTTATAGAATTATTGTGAGAATTAAGTGAGTTAATACACAGAAAGCTTACAATTCTTAAAATACTTACCAGTGAAGTGAAGGCAGTTTGTCACTGCGGCTACAGTCTCTTCAGTGGCCACAGGAGGGCAGCTCTAGGGAAGTCTTGGGGGAGAAATGGACATCATTAATTGGAATTGCAGGGCATCTGAAGAAGGGGAACATGAACAAATGCCACAAGTGGAAAATTCCACACCTGACTTCATATGAAAGGTTGAATTAGCCACAGGCATACCAAAACTATTGTATCAAATTACCCTCAGGCTACTCAGGTAAAGATTATACAAAATGTAACTTTTGTGTTTGAAGTTGGGTGTCCTCCCCAAGAGATCTTCTTATATAGATGCAAATATTCAAAAATCTGGGCGAGGGCTGGGAAGATGGCTTAGTGGTAGAGTGCTTGCCTTGCCCTGGGTTCGATTCCTCAGCACCACATAAGCAGAAAAAGCCAGAAGTGGTGTTGTGGCTCAAGTGGTAGAGCACTAGCCTTGAGTTGACGAGCTGAGACAGTGCCCAGGCCCAGAGTTCAGGCCCCACAACTGACCAAAAAAAAAAAATCTGGAGGGAAAATTCTTCAATCCGAACCTCTTCTGGACCCAATTACTTCTCTTAAGGGATTCTTACTCTTTATCGTGCTAGGAAGATATAAAGGCTCTTTTATTTTGCTTGACTTTGCAAGCAAGAGAAGATGGAGTAAATGAAAATGAATTGCACAAGAGCACCCAGAAAGCACAGGAGATAACAGGATGATAGATCTTCAGATATAACATAACAGCAATGAACCAGAGTTGGTTGGCCACTTCCAAGCCTAAAGCTAACTGCTTTTTCAGTATCATGTAGCATATTCAGGTCAGCTCATTGGTATGCACCCCAGCATGACTTCTCAGCTGCCACGGAATTAAAAGGCAATTAAGCCCTGGTGATTTAATTTTCTTCTTTCCCAACAGTGCAATATTGTCTTCCTATTTTTTAAATGAGCACTTGAACATTCATGGCAAAATTGGCTGCATATTATGTATACTGGGGTCAACTGTGATGGTTATTCATGCCCCACAAGAAGAGGAAGTCACTTCTTTGCATGAAATGGAAATAAAGTTGAGAGACCCAGGTCTGTGATTCAGTCTAAAGAAATACTGAGATTCTGCTCTTCTTTCTCACCTCGTCAAATAATATCTCTGTTTTATTTGTTGTTGCTTTAAGACTTACTATGTAGCCCAAACTAACCTTGGACTTGCAATCTTCCTCCTCAGCCTTCTGATCACTGGGAACACAGATATATATTACCACAGCTGACATCAAATAATTTTTTTTGTTGTTGTTGTGGTCAATCCTGGGGCTAGACATTGTCCCTGAGCTCTTTTTGCTCAAGGCTAGTAGCGCCACTTCCTGTTTTCTGGTGGTTAATCGGAGATAAGAGTGTCACAGACTTTCCTGCCAGGACTGTGATCATCCTATTTTGGCTCCTGAGTAGCTAGGATTATAGGCATGAGCTACCAGCACCTGATAGTTAATGATGATTTAATGGTATCTTACAAGGATTATGAGACACAATAAGTTTTCTTATTATTATAAGTCTTCTGAAAAAGTGACAGTTTTTTTGTGTTTACTCTTCTCCCACCAAACAATGGGAGTTAAAAATAGAACTAGTCAATGCCAAAGACTTACACTCAAATTCAAATTCTTGTTACTTGCTCTCTAAATAGTTATTGGCAAGATTTAAATCAGATGTTTGTGAATATTCTCTATATGATAATAATTACACAACAGGATGTTGCTGTTTTTACCTTAATATTACTTCTGTCTCTAAAATAGCTAGCTTTTAAATTCATGACTAACAAGATTTTAGAAAACTGTTGTCCTGTTAGCGTTTTCTCAATTCTAATTCTGTTCTCTTCCTAATAGGATTTATTTCCTTTGCTGTGATCATAACCTTGATCTCTTTGGTGCTGATTTTGATTGTGGCTCCCAAGAAAGGACAGAACAATATACTGGTCTACATTTCAATCTGTTCTTTGATTGGAGCATTTTCAGTTTCTTCTGTCAAGGGCCTGGGAATCGCCATTAAGGAACTGCTAGAATGGAAGCCAGTTTACAAGAATCCCATGGTCTTCGTTTTGCTGGCAGTGCTTGTGCTTTCAGTAACTACACAGATTAACTATCTCAACAAAGCACTGGACACTTTTAACACATCTCTTGTGACTCCCATTTATTATGTGTTCTTCACATCCACGGTAGTGACTTGCTCTGCCATCTTGTTCCAGGAATGGTATGGCATGAAAACCGGAGATATTATCGGGACCTTGAGTGGGTTCCTCACCATTATCAATGGCATCTTCCTTCTCCATGCATTTAAAAATACTGACATTACGTGGAATGAGCTGACATCCACTGCCAAGAAAGACATTGTTTCTCCAAATGGCAATGAGAATAATTATGTTTTACTAGAGAACATAGACTGTCCAACCACAGGATATGATGATGACATTACCTTGTTTAGCAGGACAGATGATCAAAGTCCGTATAAATCCTGATACTTGGAGAGAAGAAAGACTTACTCTTGGAAGGACTACTGGGAAAGCTACTGTTTATAACATGTCTATAAATACTTCACATGTGGGGCTGAAGAAAGAAGGTTTTGTTTGACCCTTAACTTTGAAACTCAAGTTTTGATGTTCCCCCAAAAGACTTCTGCAGCTTTTCATTCTCCAACGTTTGAAACATTCCTTAAATAGAAAAGCCTTCAACAGTCGTGTATGTTTCAGAATAATCTTGTCTTCTAGCCACAAATGACCTGGCTCTGCCTGTGATCTCATTTCTTTGTTTGCTTTTTTTTAGATTGGTGGGAACTCAATAGATCAAGTTAGCTGTGTTCTGGTAGGCAGAGTGTCAGTCACCATCATCTAACAAGTCATAATGTCCCAAGAGGTGAGAAGATACTCGTGCTTTGTCCTCCCTTTTACAACTTCATTCTTCTTAAACTAGATAATGGGTAGGTGAATTGGTAAAGAAAAACACAGGACTGCTTTGGGAAACCTACTCCTAGTGGTCATGAATGCCCAAGATATACCACTGATAATGATCTTAGGAATGTAATTTTTTTATATATCAGAGGCCTTTATCACTAATTAAAGGGAGGAGAATGGAAGAAGGAGAAAAAATATTTTACACCACAGGTAAAGAAAGCACATTTTTTCCTTGTCCTCCAAATCCAAGCTCTCACAAATTACTGTGTCCACATATTCCTTTAAACACAGGCCTGGGTGATGTAAAACAAGAAGGACCATCTGTAGAACTCAGTTCTGAGTTACTCTCATTTACTTTGCTCCTTCCTTTTATTTTTATCCCAGAGGTGATTTCTGACATAGAGCTATTTCATCAATAACCACCATAGCATATCAGGAGGCTAAAGTACTTCAGCATTTCTCAGGTGTTTTATTCCTAATGAGTGAGTTTTCTAAGACTATGTGGAAGCAACTACAAAAAAAAAAAAGAACCTGAATAAATCTCTTTTGAAAATTTGGTATTTCCTCATCCTTAGTAAGGAAATTATAATTAGGTACTGACTTAAAAATAGGTAAGTAGCAGTTTGCTTTTTCAGTTCAATTCATCCCAGTCATATTTTCCATACAACTTACTGATGAGTGTCTCTAGCCAGTGAACTTTCAGGGGAAACAAAATGTTGAGACCTCCAAGGCTACAACAGGAAATACCTTTTGCTCATTAAAATGTTTATTTATCCTTTCTGCCTCATTCTAGATGATGGCAGGAATTGCACTTTAGGTGGTTTACTGTGTATGAGCAGATTCCCTCCCGCTTACTTATGTTTGTGGAAGAGAAATTAGCTGTCTTATATTTAAACTTACTTTTCAAAATAAAAATTCTAACAAAACGTATTTTGTTAAAAACGGTATTCTTAAATTAAAAATTTTTAAGGAAAACTTTAGGTGGACTCAATTATGTTCTGCTTTAACATCAAATATTATTATTTTTTTAGAGGGGGGTCTGTTGTTGTTTTGTGCCTGTCCTGGGGCTTGAACTCAGGGCCTTGGCATTGTCCCTTGAGGGTTTTTGTTTTATCTCCTTTTGTTTTCTGTTTTGTTTTTGTTTGGGGACCAGCTTAAGCCTACCCAGAGTAATAATATAAACTGTTACTTAGTAAACTGAACTTTAGCATTTCTAATTCTATTGAACCACAAATGATAGTCACAACGGATGGTAATCTGAGATGAAATGACCATCTTAGAGTTTTCAGCAGAGTTTAGTGCTGAGCATAGTTCAGTGCACTGTTTTTGAAGACTGATAACCCATGATGGTTGCATGGGTTGATACCTTAGGTGAAATACACCTTCCCTAGCCAATTGCTGATTATTTGTCTATCAGATCTATCAGCAACAAACTCTAGTTTGTAGGAAAAGTGTCTTCTGGAAAGAGTGTGTTCGAAAATTGTAAAAATTATTTTAACATTTTTCTTTTTAGTTTTAACAATCCCATTGGTTCTCCCAGAACACCTCCTTGGTGAAGAAATTAATGACATTTTCCTTGACATCTAACCTGAAGCGGCATGGGTTCTCTACTCTAGTGAATTTAGGCTTCAGACATTTATTAATGGTCATCTGTTATTTGACACCTGAAATGTCATGTTATGCCCTTGATGCTTTAGGTCATAGGTTTCTAGAACACAAGGATCAATGTGTTTGGGGTTGGAAAATTAGTTGGTGTTGACAGCAGGAAGACTGAGAAAAACTTAATGTTGTCAAACAGTGAACTATTTGCAAAGATCTGTGTAAAAACTGCTGTAAGCCTAGGCATTAAAAATGTCAAAATGTTATTGGAAATCTTATGTCAAAAATGAATTTTTCCCAAATCCGAAGATACTGTCTAAGGAAGAGTGTAATGCTGGACTCATGTATTCGCATTGTGGTAGTCTAAGCTGGTGATCTCATACATATTTGCATTTTAACATACATACTTTATTGGTCATCTCACGCATAGCTTAGGATTTATTTTGTGAATATATATAGGTACATGCAGCATTGAGGCCACTAGCTGTGCTAGCACAGAACAAATTGAAATTTTCTCCGAATTCTGATACGTTTTTTTTTAATTTATAATTTTGCTCTGTGTGTGTGTGTGTGTGTGTGTGTGTGTGCACGCGCGCACACGTGCGTAGGGGGAGGATAGCACAGGGGGTGTAACCTCAGGGCCTTGCACTTGCTAGGATGGTGCTATACTGCTTAGTTAGGACTCCAACCCTGTTTTTTGTTGATTATTTTTAGGATAGGGTCTTGCTCTCTGTGGGAGCACAAGCTTAAGCTAAGCTCTGCCTTCTTTTAGGCTTCCTATTGTCTCTGGGATCACAGGCTCGTGCCATCACAGGGCCTGGGCACTGTCTCTCAGCTCTTCAGCTCAAGGCTAGCACTTTACCACTTGAGCCACAGCACCACTTTCAGCTTTTGCTGCTTATGTGGTGCTGAAAATCGAACCCGTTCCCCTCAGTAGAGAGGGAAGTCTCATGGACTTTTTATCCTCTCAATCTCAGCCTCCCATGTAGTAGAGGATGATTCAGGTGTGTGCCACTGTGCTCAGATATGAGTTGAAAATCAATCAAACTTTTCTGCCTGGGCTGGCCACAACCATGACCCTCATATTCTCGCCTCTAAAGTCCAGCCAAGTTTATTTTTAATTCAAGTTACAGTATGTTCATAAAGCCCTTTAGATTTAGAAATGTGAAATTAAATTAACATTTACTTTCAAAACTATTGGGTCCAATCCATGGGAAGCCCCTGTGGCATCATACCTTATAGATAATGAGTACTTAATTATTAGTCTTATTATTTAAGACCTATGGATACTGAGTACCATTTTGTATAAATCCCTCATCTTTTCTATTTTATTCCATGAGCTAAATACTAACTTTAAACAATGCTAATGAATGTGAATTCTATCATTATGCTATCTTGGCATCAATAAAAAATTACTGCACCAAAAAAATCTTTCTTAATAAAACCACAAAACTGAACTATAAATGCTATTCTTTCTTAATAAAACCAACAAAACTGAACTATAAATACTATTTTCACCTTTCCAAAACTTTGTAAACAATAATTTGTATAAATATATGTTAAATGTTCTCAAATATTTTGAATAAACTATGTTCATAAAGAATTTATATTTTTTAAATGTTTATAAACACTGTTCATTTTAGAAAGTTTACAGTTTTTAAATGCTTCTGTATATTTTTCATTTGCAATAAAATATGGTTTAATTATGTTCTTTGAAGTTTAGTTTATAGCTGGTAAATATAGTGGCAAAAATTATCTTTCTGTTTTGAGATTTTAAAAAAGTTCTGAGTTGTTTGTTTTTTTTTAAAATAAATCCTCACTGGTTAATTTTTTACTTCAAACTGAGTTTTGTTCCTAGAAGCCTCTCCCCCATCTTCAATAGAACAACAGATTTGACACCTGAACAAAAGAAATTGTCTCCAGTAATTTTACTGAACAAGACAGAGGCTTGTTTATATAATGAAATCTTCATTTAATAACTCTTTTTAAAAATTCACAATTAGATGCTCCCTGCTTATAGTAACATTGGATTAGCTAAAAAGTAGCCATATCTTTCTACATAAAGCAGGACTAAAAAGTTTATACTTTTGTGGATTTTTGTTGTCATTTTGTGTTAGTCCTGGGGCTTGAACTCAGGACCTGGGCATTGTCCCTGAAGGTTTTTGCTAAAAACTAGTGCTCTACCAATTGAGCCACAGCTCTCCTTCTGTCCTGTCAGTAGTTAATAGGAGATAAGAGCCTCACAAACTTCCCTGCCCTGGCTGGCTTGGAACTGCAATCCTTAGATCTCAGCCTTCTGAGAAGCTAGGATTACAAGCTTTAGCTTCAAGTGCACAGCCTACTTTCCTTCTTATATTTCTTATCCAAATCATATACATAAGGGAACTAACCAGGAAATCAAAAGAAGTTATTACAAGGAGGTTCATTCTGCAAGTCATCAGGATGGTTGAGGGAGCTGGTTCTAGGACTCTTATAAGTGGCCAAATCATTTATACAAAATGACATAGAATTTGCATAGAACCTGTATATGTCCTCCAATGCACTTCTGTAAACTATGTATTTCAAAGCATCTCTAGATGATCTGTAATACCAACTACAGTGTACATGTTGTTTTCCCTTTTCTGGATGGAACTCTGAACAGCTTACTCCTTCAGTTGTTTCTACTTTGTGGAAATGAATTGTTGGGCGTGCAAAAGACAACTTTCTTACCACTATCCCATACCCTTTATGTCCCCCATTTTATGAAAGGAAGCAAATATGTTTGTAATTCACAGACTTAGCACCCGAATAAGGTTCAATATTTAAGCTTCTGAACACCTCAACGTCTCTGTCCACAGAATGGAGACACATGTGAGGAGGCCTGGTGAGGCCTGCTACACACTGAACAGTACCTCCACAGCACAGTCACAGCCAACTACAGTCATCTGCAGCCGTCCGTGGCTGTGTAGAACAGGCAAGCCAACTCCTTGGAGATGGCTTAAAGGAAGCCATTAAGGGGTATGTTTAGGGTATGATGAATCTGAAATTTTGCTTTAACAAATGAAAACTTTTTTTGTTGGTCATGAGGCTTGAACTCTGGGCCTGGGCACTATCCCTGAGCTCTATCAGCTCAAGGCGAGCACTCTACCACTTGAGCCACAGTGCCACTTCCGGTTTTCTGGTGGTTCATTGGAGAAAAGAGTCTCATGGACTTTCCTGCCCAGGCTGGCTTTGAACCATGATCCTCAGATTTCAGCCTCCTGGCTGCCAAGGATTACAGGCGTGTGCCACCAGCGCCTGGTTATGAAAATATTTTTGGTTAAAAACAACCCAGCTCTTTCTTTCTTTCTTTCTTTCTTTCTTTCTCTCTCTCTCTCTCTCTCTCTCTCTCTCTCTCTCTCTCTCTCTCTCTCTCTCTCTCTCTCTTCTTTCTTTCTTTCCTTTTTGGTCGCAGGGCCTGAACTCTGGGCTTGGGCACTGTCCCTCAGCTCTTCAGCTTAAGGCTAGCACTTTACCACTTGAGCCATAGCACCACTTCCAGCTTTTTCTGCTTATGTGGTGCAGAGGAATGGACCCCAGGGCCTCATGCATGCAAGTTAAGCACTCTACCACTGAGCCACCTTCCAGCCCAGCCCAACATTTTTTGCAAGCATTGACTGTCTGAAATATTTTTTCCCCTTCAATTCTAGTTCATGAAAACCCTTTTTCCTTGAGAGAAAAAAACAAATCTCTCCATACATGCTAGCAATATAAGAGAAAGCTTTGGCCTTGTGGCATTTTAGATTCTGTATAAACTGCCATAGCAGTAGAGAGGTCAAGGGGACCCCCAGATCAACAGACCAAGCTCTTCCCAGAAGCCATCACCCCACCTCCAGCCCAAGACCTTGAGAGTGTGTCCACTGGTCTAAGGTGTTTTTCTAGCTCTCAGGTAACAACTCTCACACTAACTTTCTCCACATTCACCCGGCCACAGTAAGGTCGGCCTCATATCCAGCCAGGTGTAGGCCTCAACACCGCTTGACTAGGCAAGATGGGTGGTGGAGGTGAGGATTTCCTGCCAGGGTCTGCCGTAATCCAGCCAATAACTTCCAGGTCCAGCCAGGAAGCCGTAGGCAGCTCAACGTGACCCAAAAGCTGTGAACTGCCTTTATTATGCCTTCTACAGGCACCTGACTAATCATGAAGGAAGTCCTACAAAGGCTTTGGGTCACGATATATGGCTCCTCCCTGTGCCAATTGTGCCCATCCAACACAGAGGAAGTAACTCAAGGGCAACACTCCACTTAAGTCCAATAAAACATTGTTTCCCTACACCAGGAATGGGCAGGTTACCCCGCCTGCTCAGAAGGGCTGTCTTTCAATTCCCTTTTGCCTTTGTTTTCACTACTAAAATTTCATGGTATTACCAAAAGAATTTGAAATTAAATGGTATTTCAGTAAAAGAGATGGCTGTTCCTTAACCGTGCAATTATAATGATAGGGTCTACTGAGACTTGGTAGGAGCCAGCAAAATAAATTACTAGGGGCTGAAGGCAACTGTGATTATCTCCCTTGGACTTAATTCCTTTGGAGTAATTTTGCACGTACAGAAAGAAAAAAGGGGCAAAACTTTCTACTAGTTTTAAAAATCTGTTTTCAGAATCACAAAGAATAACCTTAAGGCATGCAGTGATTCTGTTTTTCAGCCAGCGCTAAGACAAAGAGACACTCAGCAAAGAGAGCTGACTAGATTAAGTTGACCAGAGTCAAAGAGAAGACAAGTATCAGATGATGTCTCATGTGAGCACCAAACTGGTTTATCATCAGACCGACTTAAGCAACTGAGTGCAATTCATATTACCCACGCAAGTCCCACTCCTGGGAGGCATGTGCTGAGGGGGGATTAGCTTCAACAAAAGGAAAACAAAAAAGTATGGAGAAACTGGCACAACAAGACCAAGTCTACACTATTTATTCATTTTGTGGTTTAGTGGGGAATGGCTGGGACCAGAGTATGTGGGGACCCACAATATGGATACCTGACTTGCTTTCCTCATGTCTGATTCGACAGCATCAAGATTAACTGTGTCCATCTGACACATTTGTGTGGCTAGTGTTTGTGAAAGGGGACAGTTTCATCATCGCCATTGAGACATAGACAGCCTGAGATGCTAAAGAGATAGTCAAGCAGATAGGAGTAGAATTTGTTACCAAACAGAAAACAAAACAAGGCTTGACTTCAGGCAACCTTCTGGCCTTCCTAAGTTTTATGGAATCCTAAATATACTATGGCCTCCTGGTGAGATAGACAGTGTAGAATTGTGCCAGAAGTCAAATGAGGAGAGGTACAAGTTCCTTACTTGGTTCTGGAGCTTGGTTATCCAGTGCTGTGTTCCTTCTGTTCTTAGCTCCGACATCCTGCTTTTAACCCTTGTCTAACAGTGAAACAGCGTACAGGCTAAAACTGAAGCACACAATGACTTAGCCAAGACAGCTTATTAAAAAGTTGTTAAAAATCAAACACTGCTGCAATAGCTCTCTTTCCCTTTCTTCTCCTTTTTAATATACTCCACAAGAAGCCTCAAGACAGACTAAGCATGTGTAATAGGTACACACGTATTTTGTTTAGCGCTTTGATTTTGGTCCTAGTTGCACGTAGCCATCACTGGAGGAGGTTTTGCTTTGCATTGTTTAATTACCAAGTCTGGGTCCCGCCCAGGCCAATTAAATAGAACATTTAAGGATAGTGCAGAAGCAACAATATTTGTTCAATTGTCCCCAGATAATTGTAATATACAATAAAAGTTAAAAACCCAATTTTCTATTCAAAGGCCTAGATCTATTTGATCTTGATCATCTTTTTTTCTTCCTGTTGTCCTTTCTTCTTTTTTAATTTTTTATTGTGATTAAGTGGTTACATAATTTCCCAAATTTCACAGTATTGTGGGATAGTGATGCTCAGTTAAAGTCACAAACACATTCTAACTTTACTGGAGCAAATTGTCTATCGCGGTCTATCACATTTATGAGTTCTATGAGCTTTGCGATACAGTTATTTCTTCCACACTGGGTGGTATGTACATTTCTTTTGTTTTGCATAGCATCAGCTGTTCCCTCTTTCCCTCTTGTTCCCTCCCTCCCATCGCTGCCATTGACTTGCTTAGTTCATTTTGGTCAATGTCCAGTACAGCTGATGGGTCCCACAACTGTTGTATGTTTTTCCCTGATTCCCTCTAGTTCTGTGTCGTCCTCCTGGTTCCCCTCCGGTGTACACATATACACCATACATGTGATCAGCAGCATGGGGTTATTTAGTAGTGATTCGACCAGATGAGTGGAAGTCCTTTGTTTCTTAAGTCCTGTTAATTTTGTCATATCACCTAACATTTTGGATTTAACATTCACTTATCAGGGAGACCATGTACCATTTGTGAAGACCTATCTTATAGTACATCCTAATCTCAGAGTTGTTTGTTGTTATTGTTTTAAGTGCTAAAATACAGTGTATCTATTCTGTGGTTGTGGTTATTCCCAAATAGACAATTTTTAACAATCTTTGAAATAAGATGTATGATCTGCTTCCTCTCTCCCAAACAATAGTCCTAACATTTTGCATTTTTTTTCTTGAAAAACACAAGCAGTTTAGCAATGCTATCGTTAATACATCTGAAATGTGTATATGACAATTGAAATAAAATACGTTTGCCAGGAGTTGTCATGATACAGTATCACCAACAGGTTAGCTTAA